TTCTTCTGCTATTAACAATATTAGTTCACTGACTTTTATCCATTCATTTTTCCTGTGAAGCTGACTGGAAATCTGACACTGAGAACAATGGAGTCACACAAGAAAAGACCAGTGAAACCTAAGCTTAACACACATTACTGTACGCGCCTATGTGAATGCAAAACACACTCACGTAACAGGCCCTAAAATCTGCCTCAGGGTGGACACTTGTCATCTGCAGTGCACTGATTACAGGTTGTCAATCTCCATATTTGGAGTGTGAGTGACTGATTGGAGGAGACTTGATGAAGCCACACGTTGACAGTGTCAAATCAGGCACGGCCACGGCAGGTTCGTGCCACAGAATGTGTGAAGTGGACACACCCTCATACAGGCAGGTAGGTATTGCTTTAGCCAAGGGCCCCAGGGGCCTCAGGGGACTCACAGCCAATTAAAGGCTTTGCCAAGACATGTTAATGACCCAGATTCTCACTACCTGGCCCAAGGTGTGGCAGCAACAGAGGGAGGACATGAAACATTTTGCTTGAGGCCTCTAATGAAAGCAAAAAGAAATCTGTCATTGCAGCATTTTTAAACAAATAAATTTTATTTTTTATTATGCTTACATAATGCTCAACTCACAGCCTGTCATAGTTGCATGACAAGTTACAAACAAAGAGTGAACTCTTCATATTGACTGAAATGAGGAGGCATGCTGGTTCATATAAAACCTTGCAACTTTTCAGAATGCCAAGTTATGTTTTAATCCAATCTTTGTTTCACTCCTTGGAAAGTCCAGTCATAAAAACAGCTTCATCGATAAACTAATCTTTAAATGCGTGATGACTCAGAATCTACCGTGTCCTCAAGCTGTGTGTGATTGCAGCTGGTTTGTCTTTTGTTTTTGGTGAAAAAGAGCCATCATGTGGACAAATGAATGATCTGCAACTTTGGACTGGAGCAGAGGTGGATTTCGTCTCTTTTGCCAGGCAATACATGGGAATGAGGAAAGCTCCATGCAAGTGCTGTGTCCATAGGTGTCCATGAGATGTTAGTGTGTGTCTAAATATAACTTATGCAGTGAAAGATACTTAATACTTTCATCTGTTAGAATTTCTGAGTAATTCAAGCACAATAAAACAAAATGTTTCAATGACACAAGCATGTTGTTGCCCAGAAACATTTTAACAGCCTGCAGGCACTGTGACAACTCAAAGGAATGCTTACAAGCCATAATGTTTAACCCTTATACGCACACTGTAGGTCATTAGGTCATTGCAACCTCCACTCTTCCATCACTAATTTTATTAGAATCAGTGTTTTTAAGGCTGGCAATGCTGGTCAATCCAACAGTTTGGTCTGGATGGAAATATCTCAGCTATTGGATGAATTGCCATTAAATTTTGTGCAGACACTCATGGTCTCTGGGGGATGAATACTCCTGAATTCCTACCCCCCCAACTTTTCCTCTACTGCCACTAGCAGGTTCATATGTAAGGTTAAGTGAAATGTCTGTAGACACGAAACTAGACTAGAAATGTGGCTGTAGATTCATAGTCTTGTTTCATTTAGATAAAAAATAATAATAATAATTTGAATGTCACACCAGCAAGATCTGAAATAATAATTTATCAAATGTTAAAGTCTCTTTAAGTTAAGCTAACAGTTCGTCCACAGCTAGCTAGCTAGCTAGCGAGCCCCAATTTACAGTTGACAGTTTTTCTAATGTTTGAATAACACAGTAGATAGTTTTAAAGTACTTACCGCTACTCTGAATGTATTTTCAACATCCCCAGAGACTCTTCTAACCGTCTGGATAATACACATATAGTCCGCCACATGACAAAAAAGATTTTTAACTGTTTTCCCAAGTTGCGATTCTGTTTTCTGTCCAGGTAGCTAGCGGGCCGCCATCTTTGTTTTGATTCCTTAACAGAGGAGCCACCTGGGAATCCGATAAAAGTCTTCAATAAAAATAATAAATGTAAAGAAAACAAACGGGCTAGGTAATTTGATAACGATAGCAGATGCCTCTTCACATTATTGCAATTAACAAGGCTATGGATGTATTGATAAGCCTTAAATGCATCAATGTTAAAATTGTCTTGCTTACAATGTAGGTGAGGCATCTTCCACAGTTAAGTATAGTATAGCCGATAAAAAGCATAACTGATAAAATGGGAATTGATCCCTATTATCCCTAAAATATTTGTCGAATAAATAATGACAGAGAGAGAGAGAGAGAGAGAGAGAGAGAGTACAGTGTATTATTACTATCTTTGTACAGTGTATATTCAGCCCATAGTCTAATTATGATGCTATCTTTAGTCTATATTCTAGTTTTTATTTATTTATTCATTTTACATTTCATTTAGTCTATCTAGTTATTGATGTATAGCATCTATGCATAAGGATATGTTTTGTCAGCACACAGAAATGAAAAGTTTCCAAAACACAAATTTAATGATCAAATAAATACATTTAATCCCAAAGTTTGATAAATCATACATGAACATAATCAAAGTGAGTGATATACAGTACAGTCAGGTCACTAAAAACCTCTACATTTTTATTTAAAAAATAAGCAACCATTACAGTACATGGGGATAATTACTACTTGGATAAAGTCAGAGTTTGGAGGAGATATTGAAAACTTTTGGACATGCAGCCTCAAAGTAAAAATACCAGAGATTCAGTTCAGTTTTAGCATACTGTACATGCACATACAAATACAGAGACTGTGTCTCTGTACAACACACTCACTTAATACTCCTCCACTCGCATATTGCAGAGAACAAATACACTTCATTTTGCATCTTCTTGTGATTTGTCTCATCAAAGCAGTAGAATTGGATAAAGATATTAGCTGCATATCAGTTCTCATAATGTAGTTTAGTAGATTTTTAAGAGAAAAAGGTAACGGCCTTGAGCTGAATTATCATTGTTGGGTCAGAAGCCTCTATTGCTTTTAAGCCTGTTTGTGTATGAAAAATATGCATACTAAACATTTAAATCAAATAAAAACGTGATAGACACAAAACAACCTTCTTTTTTTTATTGATCCTGATAAGGATTCTTGATCTTCATGTGTATGTATACACTTCTTATTTCTACCAAGTCCATGCATAATAGGTTTCCAGTTTCAGTTTACAAATTGTCCACTGGGTGGCAGCACTTCATCTGTGATGGCTAATAAGTCCTGCCATCCACCCTCTGAGCTCCCAGGGAGACAGTTAGGGAAAACACTGCATGGCATTGCAGCCACACTGATGAAGGTCACACCTCCACTTTGTCAAGTAGTGTTGTTGAAACATGGATTTGAATCTGATATTTTTTTTCTTGCATTTGTCCTATTAACAGTTAAAATGGTGAAAAGCTGAGTTCATCTGCTGTCAGCACAAAATGTTGTGATTGAATCTCTCATAAATGGTCCTCCTGAGGAATACTTTTTCAATTATCATATTTTCATCTCATGCATGCTGCCACTCCCCTGGTACCTTGGGATCACTGTAATCGTTCAACCTGTTTTACTCTTGAACCAGTAGCACCAGATTCACTGACTGAGGCTAAAAACTACTATCAGCTCCTATATGCATGGAGGTGAGTGTACAGTCCTTGATCCTTCTACTTCCAGAGTAGAAGGAGTCTCGGGATCCACATGGAGAATAACACCACCAGAAGACTGAAGTTTTATTCTGTGTGTTTTCATCTGCTTAAAGTACAGAATGTCTGAATGTTACCATGTAAGACATGAGTGCTGTCAAGTTAAGTTAATATTATGGTAAACAGTTGCTCCTATGGACTGTATGTACCCTGAAATCTGACTACGCTGCAACTTCACTTCTGCAGTTTTTTCTCAGAAAAACACTGAGTCAAAGTAAAATACCTCAAAGGTCATTATTCACCAAGGCAACCAAATCTATTGTTGCTTCACAAATCATGCATGTAGGAAAGAACTGAGCAGCAAATTCCTGTTACTTGTTACATCAGGCGATATGTGAGGGTTTCCTCATTAAATAATCACTGAAAGTTGCTGCATATTTCTTGCTGTTTGTTTCACACTTGACAAATACTGTAATCCAAATAAACCTGTTGATCATACGCTCTCGAGGACACGTTCACCACTTCAGGTGCTCGTCATTCAGTCGTTACATTTAAGTATTGCTGTCGCACTTACAGTGTAAGAGGAAATTCAACGGTATTTTATCAATGAATAAACACTTTTTTGATTGTGAGAGTTTCCTTTCATACCAGATGATCGAAAAAAAAAAAAAATCTCTCACAGATAATTTGTGTAAATTCACAGGAATGACTATTGACTTCGAGGGAATGAGAATTAAAAAATGAGGCTTGCATGTCTGAGACGACATTAAAGCACATGAAATGGACGCGGACAGTGAGTTATGAAAAAGATTTCTGAAAAACAGAAAGTCACCCTGCTATTATGATGAATGGACTGCATTTATTTAGTGCCTTACAGTGGCTGATATTAACCTACACACACCCATTCATACATCAATAGCAGAGAAGCTGCCATGCACGGCCGTGACCTGCTCACCAGGAGCAGTTTGGGGTTCAGCGTCTTGCTCAAGGACACTTCGACACGATATCAGGAGAAAACCGGGAATCAACAGTGATAACAAGTCGCCTGGCTATACCTCCTGAGCTCCTGTCGTCCCCCACACACAAGCAGCAGACTAATTCAAGTGAGACGCACAGTATGACTGCTGATTGAGCTCAGTAAAAAATGTGTATTATATTGGAAGACAACTTTTTTTCATGCATTTTTTTCCAGGCATTGTGGGTATTCACTAACTGCAGAGAACATTCATCATGATGTAAGCTGACACATTGCTTCAGGGTGGACATGTTCTTAAAGAGCCTTTCGTAGCTACATTACTACAGTACTTTGAATAATACTAAAGGACAGTATGTACATTTTAAAAAGGACATGTTACAAATGCAGCTACTTTTTTATTATGTTCTATGCAGCAAGCATTATGCTTTCAGATAGACTGATGTGCCCTTGAAACACAAATATAAGTTGTTTTTGTTCCGCCTCACAGCGATAACACAAATCTTTGCAACAGCTGTTTGTTTTTATCCCGAGTTCTTTGCAGTCTATGGGACAGCAGGGCCTGAAGATGTAGTCCTGGTCATTTAAGACCCTGATCTCCTTAAGGTCAACCCCACATGGAAATGGGAGGGTGCGTAATGAGATGCAGCAAACACAGCAGCATGGAGATATTGCGCCTCTGTTGACAGTAGAGGACACAGTGGGTGATATGGGCGTTTTGAGCCCTAGTTAGGTTTTGTTTTCTGGCTGTTCTGATACTCTGTACACCTCTGCACACCAACCCAGTCTACGTAGCTGTCTGTTGACTTAACCCCATACAGTTAATGGGGAGGACTGCTTATGAAAGTGGCTGAGGAGGGCAGGAGAGGTGTAGCAGAGCGATTGGGCTGGTTTCAGACTGTGTTCTTCCTTCATTATACCTTGGTTCATTCCCCTTTAAGATAGCCGTTAGAATCATTTCCCATCCCTCTACTCCTCTCTCTCCTCCTCCCACCCCCCAATGTTCCTCCTGCCCCTCCTCCGCCCCCAGCATCCAACCGATGTTTTGACCAACCATCCTCAGGCCCCTCATGGAAGCGCAGCCGCAGCGTTTTGCGGATGACCAGGCGCTCTACGATGAAGGAGGCGCAGAACCAGGGCACAGCGTACTCAGCCGTAATCAATCCCATGAAGTTGTAGCGGAATTCGGAGTAGTCCCAGGGGCAGGCGTTGAACTGTCGCAGCAGTAGCCCCGTGCCGAACTCCCACAGGTACGTCCATAAAGTGTATATGATGCAGCGCAGCAGCACGGGGCAGCAGCCTCGCAGCTTCAGGTACATCTGCTCCACAATGAGGATGCAGGTGCCGTAGATGAAGAGCGCCCACACGCTGGTCACGCCTGGGAATTTCCAGTTGCAGTTCACCACAAACTCCCAGGCGGCGGTGAACATGACCTCACAGAAGTAGCCATGGATTGCGTAGAGGTACCAGCGTGACAGCGCCGTCAGAGGCACAGGAGCCTCTGGGGTTTCCAAGGTCACCATCTTTCCTCCTCTCTCTTTCACTCAAATGTTCTGTCTCTGCTAATGGGATGCAGGTCTAAGGGGAAGAAAGACAAAGAAAGGTGTAAGAAAGTGACATAAAGGCAACACACTATAATGTATCAACTCCATGTTTATGCTTTGACATTTTTCTGCTAGAGCCATTTAATCTATTTACAAAGTAGGGTTCAAAATTTCTGCACAAGGGATTCACTGGAAACTATGCATGCATGTAATCCAGCATAATTTTATCTCATTGATAACAGCCTCAACATTAACTGTTTACTCTCTACACATCATGTCAGAGCTGTCATCAAAAACGCATCTACAAAACAAGACAGTCATTTTTCCATCAGATCAGTTTTAAATATTGCACAGAATAATGGATTTAAAAAGGCAGCTACAGTGAGCGGTTGACAGGCCTCACACCTCCAACTTTTCACAAGGAAACCAGCTCCTTTTACTGTGCGCTGCTGTTGTATAGAAGACTGATTGTGCTGTGCACAGCATGAAATCGTCAGGGTTACTCATGACTGAATGGAAAAAAAAACTGATTACTGAATGATTCTTTATTAAAAACATTTTTTGTCTGTTTGGCTGCACTGTAACAAGAGGTACTGTACCAGTCAGGGACATGTGGCATTAAACCGCACTTGCTGTTATCTCCAGTAACCACTGTGTTGCCAAATCTTAAAAGATTACAACTTTAATTGCAAATGGTGCCAAGCCGAAGTTCAATTAAGGACAAGGCAACGAAACACTCGATTTACATCATGAAGATTAAATTAGAGACTGCAGGGCTACGCAGCACTTAAACTCTCCGGCCTTCCCTCAGTTGATGCTATTTACTGACTGACTGAGGGGGCTTCTTATGTAAGATATAGCTTTATCATCTGACTGCCTACATCATGTGCTCTTTTTCCAAATCCCGCAGCTTGACGCACACAGTCTTTGTATCAGGTGTCAGGAGGCCCACGCAGGGTTGGATCCTTCCTCTACTCTATTTATCACAGCGCATGTCCAATAAAAAACACTGAAGGCAAACAGCATCATACCGAGGAGTTCAACGACCACATAGCTGAGAAGACCACTGAGTGTATATCATCTACTATTCAATGCCTCCAGAGGAAACTGTGTCATAACAGCAACCATTACACAATGGATCATAACCGCTGTGTAAAATACAAGCTCAGAGAGGTTAGGAGCACAAAAGCTTGTCTGAAGAACAAAAGCCAATTTTTTTTTGGCTCTTTTTTTGTCTTCAAAGGCTGGCTGAGGCCCAGAGTGGGCCCATGGGGATTAGCACATTTCCAAACAAGGAATAAGGGTTTCATGTGAGGAACTGGGCCACAGCGATGGGCCAACTGACCTCCCTAAACCCTTATACCATCTTTTTACTGCCCGCCTGGGAAACTCTCCCTTTCTCTTCTCATTTATCCAAGCAAACCTGGGTAAAACAGTATTTTGCAAAAGATTGTAAACTTGTTGGTTTACGTTGTTCAAGAGAATTAGATGCTATAAATGAGTTTTATTATATCAGATCATCTAAGTTGCCCAACTTTAAGGGAATGGGACAAAATTTTGGGAAATACGCTGAGTTAAGACAGACAGGCACTATAAGGACTGATCACAATTTCAGCCCTGAACTCGTGGCTACTGACTATGCTTACACTCAGTGTGAGCACCAATGGCGATGATGGTCAACTGATTTTTACTGTGCGAGCATAAAAAAAAAAAAAAAAATGAAGTGTACAGCATGAGTTAATATAACATACAAAATAGATAAAAATGCATCTCTACGAAGCTTTAGATGGGAAGACTGATGCCTCTCAGATGTATCCGGTAATATTGGTAAGGTTAGCTCGGCATTCAGGACTGGTAAGAGGGGGAAATTCATCTTCAAGAGCCTCTAAAGTTCACTAACTCACAAGCTATATGTTTCATTTGTTTAATTCATACAAAAACTGGGGGAAAGATATATAACATATATACATCCTGTACACCTGAAATGTTTAATTTTTCCATTTTTTGTACAGATTAAACAAAGGAGATGCAATGTGTTCATCTGTGAGCTTTCAAGGTACTGATAGGTGGAGTTTAATATTATTTGTTCTGTGTCAAAGCACTGCTGTCAGCAATCCAAGCTCCCTCACTCTGTTTGCCACCTTGTGTTTTTTTTTTGTTTCCTCTCATCTCATCTCTCACCCGAGGATCACATGCCTTCACCCCCCCCCATCACACACTTTTCTCTCCCTCTTTCACAATTCAGTTCCCCCTGCTCTCTTTCCACTCACGTCTCTTTCTCCACCGCCTGCACAGACACCATTTGTTCAGCACTCACATGCCCACTAAGCCGCTAATGATGAAAAATTTGGAATGCAATATTCAGCCGTGTAACACTCAATCTCCTGCCAAACGGCCTATATATATACTCATAAAGGTGGGAGAAGAGTTAAGAATACTGGCAAGGTACAGACTCATTCACTGTACTGAAAACTCTACATTTCATCAAATCTTAACGTGTTTTGTATATTTAAAAATATGCCTGGATGATAGTTCTTTCTTCTTTGATGTACAAACATAGTGAATAGATTTCAGGAGAGGTAAAACCAGGTCAACTTGAACTTTTAGATACTTTAGAAATAATTTCACGCCGCAAGTTTTGACAAAGTGTGGGAGATTTCTTTATCTCCTACACACCTGTATTATTTATTTTTTGGTTTGTAAAGGTTTCAAATATCGATCAATAAGTGTCTCATGTCCTCAGTGCCTCTTGTTTGTACTGTATATCAATGATATCAGGATTTTCGTCACGACTTCTTAAGCAGTTTGGCAGCATCTCTTGTTCTTTACAATGCTATTTATGAACACACAGTTCACCGGAAATCTCAGATTGTTTATTGTGCAAAGGCTGGTTTGTTTATACTATGAAACAGGAAGAGATATTTGTACCGCACTTATTGTTCTGATAAAGTGAAAACTGGGAACCTGAAACCAAAGATCCAACATCCTCTGCTAGAGAAATGAATGAAAATGCGATCTTATAGCACAAAAACAATGAATGAAACTAGGTTGAAACAGAACCTATTAAAAATTTCAATCTCAATCTCATTTATGAAAATTATACACTGTAATGTGTTCATCTGTGAACACTGTTACCAGAATTGATGTTACCATGATATATTGATGTTAAAACAGATGCAATCTGATTTTGTGTTTTGACATGTTACTTATTCTTGCTTAAACTCGATTTTAGACAGTCTGGTGTTTATGTTACTCAGTTTTACAGGTGGAATTTACTTCAAAGTAAAACTTTACATCATCTTTTGAAATGTTAAATCCCCTAGCATTGTTGGTCTGTTTAAGTTTACAGTTAATTTTAAGAGATACGGGTTATAGTTGCTACTTGGCTGGCCAAGCTGCTAATTGCTAGTGACAGTCACAATAGTTGCTAAGGCAAGCACAGCTATGCTTGTAACATCACAATGGTTGCTAAATAACTTGCAAAACTGCTAACTAATTGTGACATCAGGCCTCTAATTATCTAGCATAATGTAGCTGCTAAGTGGACAGTGAAAAGCCAGTAATAGTCACAAAAAAAGTTAAGCAGCAGTTAGCTATGTCTATGGTTGCTAAATGGCTAGCATAGTTGCTAACTCTGGTGTGATGCTCACAAGGAGTTAGGGGGCCAGGGTAGATGATAACTGTTTGTGACAGAATGGTTAAGTACCTAGAATAGCCGCTAACTTAGCAACACTGACAAGCTACTCACAGTCGGCAGTGACAGTTAACAACTATGGCTATGGTTTCTATGTGGCTAGCATAGATGCTAACTGCTAGTGAATGTGACAAAATAGTGACAGTAACAAGCATTTTCCTTTGAATAATGCCAATGAGAATGGCTGTGTGGAAATTTTGCAACCTGTTTGTTGACATGTGTGTAGTTTGTTTCACCGAGGTGATACAAAAACAAAGTGCTTTTCTGTAAAATATGATGTGAACTCAGAATCTGTTTTAGCCCTGGTTGGACTATAAAAGTCATTAAGTTGAGCGTTAACATTGAACTCTTCAGATAAGTTATTACCGAACTTGTCTGATGCTTACCAGCTTTTTAAGTATTCTGGGGCATTTTTGCCTTTTTATCAACTGTAGGAAACTGACATGAAATTAGATGAGACAGATTGGGGACGGCATATAACAAAGGTCCCTGGCTGGACTAACTGCGGCTGCTGTGATTACATGGTCAGCGTCTTAAAACCCTCAGCTTCTAGGACACCCCCGCTTGCCCTTTCTGTGTGTATTTTGGCATATCTATTGACTTGTTGCCTCAGCATGACACAGTTCACACACTGGGTGCTATTTGATTCCACTGCTGTTGTTGTTGTTGCAGCTGTTGTAGGATATCGCCCACCAACCCACCACCCCACTGTCTCTCTCATCGGCCCAACGTATTGATCGGCAAGGTTCCTGCCAGCGCTTGCTGCGGCAACCCGCTTCGCCATTGCACTCTATTGAACCCCACTACGGGACATCACAGTGTGATGATGATCAGAATGGCAGATGTGATAGAGCTGCCTGCTTTGTAGACCTCATGATGACCAGTGGGAGACACAACACAGGTGGGGTGCTGTCTGAACTGAAAAGGGAGGGGAGTGTAACCACGCAGTGCCAGGGGTTTGTCTGAGGACACAGAGGGAAGACACCAACTGAGTGTATGTACGCTTTCAAATGAAACAAAAAGGGAAGAACAAGATAGCGAAAGGGAGTGTGTGAGAATAAGCTTTCAACTGAAAGTTCAGGCTGTTCAAGGCTGACAGGTCTGTCAGTAAGACACTCCTCTGACAGCAGGTAAACAATGAAACAATGACAAGCATGAAGAAAACACACTGATATGGGAGTCAGACAAGGTTGAATGAAAAAAAAAAACAACACATGCAAAAACAAGAGGACGCCGTGACTGTGCCGACAGCATGCTGACAGCTGTGAACTCTGACACCGAAATTTAATCAGAAACCTAACACATTGCTGACCTTGCATCAC